CCGCAAGACAGAACCAGCAAATTCGGTAATGCTTAATGCAGTAGCTTCAATTCTTTGTTCTTTGGGTGAAGATCCATTAAGGAAAGAGCTCATTGAAACTCCTGATCGATTTGTGAAATGGTTGATGAAGTTTAGAAATGCTAATCTGGATATGAAGCTAAATGGGTTTGTCCGAAACAGAAGTGATTCTCTAATTTCCAATGGAGTAGACCATATTGAAGATAGTATCTGTTCAGAACTGAACTTGACATTATGGTCGCAATGTGAACACCATTTACTTCCCTTCCACGGTGTAGTGCACATAGGTTTTTACTGTTCCAATGGGGTGTACCCTGTTGGAAGATCTCTTTTACAGTCAATAGTACATTTTTATGGATTCAAGCTCCAAGTACAGGAAAGACTGACCAGGCAAATAGCGGAGACAGTTTCATCTATTTTAGGTGAAGATGTAATGGTAGTTGTGGAAGCTAATCACACGTGTATGATAGCTCGAGGGATCGAGAAATTTGGCAGCAATACTGCTACAATTGGAGTCTTGGGTCGATTTTCCACTGACGCTGCAGCTAGGGCGGAATTTTTGCAGATCATTCCCAGCTCATGCCCTGCTTGAGATTGAATTTTTAGTTCAAGGTGAAAACAACTCTTTCATCAATTGAATCCTTCTTTCCAATACGTCTTTTATAGTCTGTTTGGCTCTCTGCGTCACTAAGGCACGAAGAAGACTTCTCCAATAAGAATCCCGGGTCTTGCTCAAAATTTTGATTTGTTCGTGGAGAGCCACTGTAACGGTAGATGAATCATCTACATCATTATATTTATTTCTCGTGTGTTATGGTCATTGTTTGTATCACAAAGAAGGCCTTCTAGCCTTAAAAAAAAGTTACTTTTTTGTTCTTTGAATCATATATCTATGCCTCCTGTAACGCAAAATCTATTACCGGGTATTACCTCTCCGGGTTTAATTTTATTTTGATAAACTTGTACTTTCTAAGATACAACCACCACCTCACAAGTTTGAAGCCACCCACCAAGTTTTGTTGGCATTTCAACAACCATATTATCTATTTTTAATGCCCCTTGTTAAATAGAGAATCCTGCTATGTTGGACACACTCACATGGGAGGGGAGTGGAGTGGAGGGGAGGGAGGTTGACGTGCAATAAAGGGCTACCATTTTTTAATGCACTTTATTGCACATCAACGCCACACGGGTCCCACCCTGTATGTCAAGACAAACAAACAAATTAATTCTTAAAACAGAAGCCCCCCCCAGATACCAAATCCGTTGCACCNGAAGGCCTTCTAGCCTTAAAAAAAAAGGTTACTTTTTTGTTCTTTGAATCATATATCTACGCCTCCTGTAACGCAAAATCTATTACCGGGTATTGCCTCTCCGGGTTTAATTTTATTTTGATAAACTTGAACTTTCTAAGAATAGTTGATAATTTGGCATTACTTGTGTGACCTACGGGAAAAAAATTTTGACTTTGAAAAGTAGAATTTTAGGAAAAGAAAATGAAATTCAAGTGGATGCATAATGTTTTTTCAGCATGTGGTTGACTTTACCTTCTTATTGTGTTGTGTGCACTCTACCTTTGACCAGTTCTTTTATTTTTGTTGTTGCTTTTGTTAAGACAAGAACTTTTGTCTTTATGAAGAGGTCGAAGTAGAGTACATTTTCTTAGTTTGCGTGAAAATGAAATTAAGTCTATATTTGTACGAAAGGTGTTGGTAGGTTTTTTTGAGGAACAATGCTACACACACAGCTCGGCTCACAACACGGTTGACAGTCTTCTCACATCCAGGGGCGGGTCCGCAATTAAAATAATCACAGGCCCCACGGCTTTGTGAGAAGGTTGTAGAGCTCGGGCTGTACAAACAGCATTTTTGTTTTCGAACAATGCTACACACACAGCTCGGCTCCCAACACGGTTGACAGTCCTCTCACATTCAGGGGCGGGTTCGCAATTAAAATAATCACAGGCCCCACGGCTTCACAGCTCGGGCTGTACAAATAGCATTTTTGTTTTTTGAGTATGAAAAGATTTCATGTTATAATTAAGAGGACAAATATCAATGATTAATATACTTTTTGTGATATTTTTCATTGATCACTAAATTATAAACGTTTATGACTAGTCACTGAATGTATCAAACGTTAACCAGTAGTTAATAACTTAATATTCAAATGTGGCACATTTAAATGTTAATTATTGCAAAGTTCAGTGGCTAATGTTATAAAAAGTACTGTGATTAATAAAAAATATTGTGAAAAGTATAATGGTAAATACAATTGAACGGAAGATACAACCACCACCTTACAAGTTTGAAGCCACCCACCAAGTTTTGTTGGCATTTCAACAACCATATTATCTATTTTTAATGCCCCTTGTTAAATAGAGAATCCTGCTATGTTGGACACACTCACATGGGAGTGGAGTGGAGTGGAGACAGTGGAGTGGAGGGGATGGGAGGGGAGGGGAGGGGAGGGG